GGAGGATGGAGAGGGGGGGGAGGAGGACGAGAAGAGGGAGTAGGAGGAGGAGGAGGAGGAGGAGGAGGAGGAGGAGGAGGAGGAGGAGGAGGAGGGGGGGGGAGGAGGAGTGTCGGGCACGGGCAGCGGGCGGGGGGCAGGGCCTGCTCGGAGCGCCGGACGCTCAGCACCTCGACCAGCTTGGCGGACACGCCCGTGGCCTGCGGGCGGCGTCTCGGGGCCCCCCCGGGCGGCGCCGCGCGGCGCGGCGGCGGGTCGGACGCGTCGGGTCCTCCCAGGCCGCCGGGCCTCGCGCCCTCGAGATAGACACAAATTCGCTGGCCCAACGGGCCCAAGTTCGCGTGCTAAGATCTCCGGTGACTGGTCAACAATATTTCTAGTTCGCGCGCGCGGAGCGGCCCCTGGGGGCCCCGGGAGGAACAATAACCCGGCAAGGTCCCAGGAAAAGCCACCAGAGCACTCCAGGGGAGGGCCATGTTTCGACACCCCTCACGGGGATCGTGGCCTCCGAGGGGGGAGGCGCAATCGACTGCCCCCCTTCCCGCCCCACGAGGCCCCAAAAGCCCCTCAAGAGGCCCTGGGGGCCCCCAAGACGCCGCCAAGGAGCCCCAAGAGACTCACAAGAAGTCCCTAAGAGGCCCCCAAGAGGCCCTAAAGAGGGCTCCAGGGCCGGAGGAAGGAGCGAAGCGATTAAATAAACAGATTCCCCGTATATCCCTGTATTTTCTGCATTCTTGTCTTCCCCCCCACTTCCCATAATTTCCCATATTTTTCTGGGGAGTCGACGATTAAGTATGTCTGTGTGTTTTTTCCCTCCCGACTTTTCTAAAACAAGGCGGCCGCTCCGGCCCAGGCCGAGACGCGCGAGGCGCGGGTGACTCCCCCGCGCCCCCGTGGGTGGCCCAGGGGCCGGAGGCTTCTCGGCGTGCTCGGCCGCGCGGGCGAGTCCAACTATGAGGGCATCTGGCGATGAGCGGGTCTGGATACAAGTGGGCCTGCGTACGAGCGGGCGCAAGCAGTCGGGATCCACCAAAAGGGGGGTGACCCTGAGGGGGGGGCATGAGTTCGATCCGCTGGTGCACCGGACTGCCGCAGACCGATGCCCCCCGCATGCCCCACCGATCGGCAACTACCGGGAGCTGCCGGCGGCTGGGGGGCATCTGTTTTGGGCGGTTCGGTGTCGAAACGATCGAACTCTCTCACACACAAACACACACACACACACACACACACACACCGGGGCTCACACCCCCTCTGCGGGATCCCGAAGCAGGAGAAGGCTTCAACGGTGATCGGCGAACCTGGAGCGAGCCCTGCTCGGGCTGCCAGACGATGAGTCTCGCCAGCTCGTCCCACGGTTCTTGTTGAAGCGGACGACGTAGCGCTTCCAGCTCGGCTTCTCACGAGCTTCACCCAATAATCTGAGATACTGGTGGCATCTGGATTGCCGGATGAATTCTCACAGATCTCAGTGGGAGAGGGAGGAGGCGGGAGTGCGTGAAGGAGGGAGGCGGGGGCAGCACACCGACGTCAAGAACCCCACATGTCAGATGCGGGGAATGACGAAGCTGGAGCTCCCGCGGGGCACAGGGCGGGGTGCGCCGCCCGGAAGCATCCACGCCCAGAAAACGGCTGGAGTTCTGCCCTGGGCCCCTGGGGACTTGTGGACGTGGATCCTGCCCCGCCCTCCACGGCGGGCAGCTGTCCACGCCCACCTCTCCCCGAGAGGTCCCCCCGAGAGCCCCAAGGCACGACCCCGAGGCGGTGAATGTGTGCCATACCCGGTGCTGCAGGAGAGGAGCACGGAGAGGCCGACGCGGGCGGCAGGGCGGGGCAGCGGAGAGGCGCGGCCGCGCGCGGCGCGTGGGACGGCGGGGCGTTCGAGACTGGTGCCTGCCGGTGGCCATGCCCAGAACTGCGCCTGGCCCCTCGAGTTCCCCTTCGAACCCCATCTGCCTCCAGCACGTTCCTACTGGAAAGGAAGGAACAGGGTGATCCACGAATTCCAAGAGAGGCCTCACAACCCAGGCACGGTGGCGGGATGGGCTGCAGGCCACTGGATCCGCCGCCCCCTGCTTGCAGGGGTGCACGGCGTGCTGGACGTTTCAGGTTTTGGTTTTGGTTCTTTTTCCAAAAGAACTCCCCAGTGGGCTCCGGCAGAACCCGCCGGCCACCCGGAATTTCCCCAAACGTGCTCAACGACCGGAAAAAATCCTCCAAAAAACGGCCGTTTCGCTCGGGACATCCTCAAAAAATCGCGAAGATGGCCCAAGATGGCCTCCAAGTCCGCCCGAGATGGTCCAAGACGGCCTCCAAAACGGCCCAAGAGAGTCCAAGACGGCCCAAGACGGCCCAAGAGGCCCCCCCAGAGGCCTCCCAGACGGCCCAAGAGGCCTCCAAGAGGTCCTCCAGGAGAGTCCGAAGAGGCCAAAATCATTGATTTTCCCTTGGTTTTTGAAGGATTTTGGCATTTGCGCCTTTTCGGCTCTCCGACGGCTCAAGACGGCCCAAGAAGCCCCCAAGATCGCCCAAGAGGCCCCCAAGAGAGCCCCCTGATGGCCCAAGTGGCCTCCAAGATGGCCCCTAGAGGGCCCCAAGACGGCCCAAGAGGCCTCCAACACGCCCAAGATGGCCTCCAAGACGCCCAAGATGGCCTCCAAGACGGCCCTGGAGCGCCCCAAGAGGGTCCCCCGTTGGCCCAGAAAGGCCCCCAAAACGGCTCCCGACGGCGTCAGACGTGCCAGGAACCCACCAAGATGGCCGAAGTTGGCTCGAAGCTGGCCCAAAAGGGCCCAAGAGGCCCCCAAGAGGGCCTCCAGGAAGGCCAAAAGATGCCAAAATCACTGATTTTCAAAGGTTTTTGATGGATTTGGGCATTTCCCTTTTTCGGCCTTCCGACGGCCCGAGACGGCCCAAGAGCCCCCAAAGATCGCCGAAAGATCGCCCAAGAGGCCTCCAAGACGGCGACGATGACCATCAAGACGCCCACGTGTTCCCCGAAGGCTTTCCAAACCGATTCGGGGAACACATGGTCCGATGGCTTGGCAGGTCTGGCCTCAACGTTCGGCCACATAGGCGCTTCCACAAAGGCAGGGGGCGGCGGTGATTCGCCGTAGGCGTCTTCGATAAGATGTCTTGAATAAAAGATGTGCGTACAGAGCCAAATTGACGAAGCACAATGGAACTTCATCCTTGTAGCAAATATATCAAACGATTTGCAGATCAAGACGCCACGCAACACACCACCAAACAACAAAGCAAACCAGCAGAAAAAAGTGTTGGCACCTCAGGACTCCCTGGCCGCCCTCTTGGAGCCCTCTTGGGCCGCATCCGGGGCCTCCTGTGCCGTCTTGAGACCGCCACCTGTGGCCGTCTTGGAAGCATCTTGGAGCCGTCCTGGCCTCTCTGGGGGCTATCTTGGACGTTGTGGAGGCGTGCTGGGCCCGTCTTGGATGAAGGGGCCCTGGGACATACAGATAAAAACACGCAAATCAAATGATTCCCCATATTTTCCGACATTTTCTGGGTTTTTGTCTTCGCCCCCACTCCCCATAATTTCCCATCTTTTTCTGGGAGTCGACGATGAATTGTGTCTGTGTGTGTTTTCCCCTCCTGGCTGGAGAGGGGGGGGGGAGCCTGCACCACGCCCTGCACGAAGCGCTCCTCGAAGTCCGGAGGCAGCGGGCCGCCCACCTCGCCGCAGCGGGGGCGCCCTCAGCACGCCCCGCGGCCCCCGCTCTCCCCCGCCCCCACGGCGTGACACAGTTTTTGGTCGGCGGGGCGAGAGCGAACCTCTTCCGCTAAAAGCTAGGCGGGCTACGCACAGCTCTAATTGGGGAGACGGGGCACAGGCGGGCGGGGCCTCAGGCGGCCGGAGAGGGCGGGGCGCGGGGTGCAGGCGGTGCCGAGGAGCTTGTACAGGAAAAGGTACGCCGCGGACAGGAGCCGGAGGCGAAGATCGAAGATCGCCCCACTGCGTGACACAGGGCTGAAACTAAACGGTGCTTTTCGTTTTCGTTGTGCTTTCGTTTTCCCTCGTTTTTGTTTTCCATCCGCCTTCATCGCAAAACGAGAATCGGAACGAAAACGGCCCACGAGATCGCCAAAACGTCGTTTAGGGCCAGCCCTGGCGCGACAGAAGAGCGGCTCGATCCGCCACCGCGCCGCGAGGCACGAGGCGGAGTGCCCTCGGGCCCTGGGAGCGTTCCTCGGCCCCTCGTTCCTCAGAAGTGAGGGTTCATTAGATTTAGGTCGGGCCTGTCCCCCTACAGGGGGATTTTCGACGAAAAATTAAAAATACCCCAAAAATACCCCAAGAAGGTCAAAAAATACTCGAAAAGTAGTCCCCATATTATTTTTGGAATATTTGTTGGTTATTTGTGGGGTATGTTTTACTTTTCGTCGAAAATCCCCCTGTAGGGGGGCAGGCCCGACACAACGATAGATGGGCCGAGACCGCAACTCCTCAGATCTCCCAGGGCTCCCGGCGTGCCCCCTGGGCCCTGGGAGAGATGCTCCCGCGTGCCGTGTGCGGGCCCAAGAAGAGGGCCCTAGAACGAGCCAGGAGGGCCCCAAGAGGCCCCACTCCTCTCTCTCGGGAGCGGCCAAGAGGGGGGTGTCCAAGAGGGGGGGGTGCAAATCATGACCGGCGGCATGTGCGCGGCCCAGCGGGAGGGTCAGGGACGTAGTGAAATGAGACGAGGCGCCATGAGATCTGGGGAAATATCATGGCCCCCGACATGATATCCACCCCCCCTAGTCATCACCCCCCTCTTTGCCGCCCCCGACTCTCCCACGGCGTGGCAGAAAGGAGGCTTGACACAGTGGGTTTGCACAGCCTCTGCAGTTTCTGCTGGGACGACGATGAGGAGTGGCTCCTTCCAACCGCAAGGAACCATCCTGGGATGCTTCACGTTCTCCCCCCCCCCCCGTCCAGGCCCTGTTTTCCTCAGCGGCGGCGCACGCATCGGACATGTGCGCAGCATCTCTATGCCTCACCCTGTCTTCAAAGCGTGCGTCTAACGAGCCTCGCCTCCCCTGGCGTACATCAGGGCGGGAGCGACCGGGGAACCAAGCAGACGGCTATGGCCCACATGCGCGTGCGTCATGACTGTTCTGGCAACCAATGATTTTGAGATCTATCTCGCCGCTGCCCCAAATGGCGTCGTGGAGGCGCGATAGCCGCTACTTCCCAGGCGCCCCTCTCCCACGCCGAGGGGGAACGACAGGGGGGACCGGCTCCCGGGGGAAACGTTGCCTTGGAGTCGGCGACACATCGACGATAGATCGGCGATACAGTCGGGGCGTTGACCTAAGGAACCCTAAATAAGGAACGAGGTCCCTTTTCCTCATTCGTGAAACTTCGATTCCCCATGGGAAACATCAGGAAACCCCAAGGAAAACTGTGAAGCAATCGAGGAACACCGAGCCCCTCCCCAACGAGAAGGTTTCCTTCTTCAGCGCCCCGACTGTAGGCCCCCGATAGCGACACCGCACGTTGTATGGGCAGGGCGGGCCATCTGGCCCTCCTCGGCGACGCATGGGCCATCGGAGGTCGAGGCATTCCCCCCCGGAGCCTCTCCCCCCTGTCCTTGCCCCTCGCACGCAACTTCGCCACGCCACCGGTCCCCCCTCGCCTGACTCGATGGCGAGCGAGGGGGGGGGAAGTGGGAAGCCTTCTCAGCAGGCTCGGGGAAGTCCCCCGGCCTGCTGAGAAGTTGTCTGAGCCTTCCCCGAAGGCACAAACACGAGTGATGGGAAGGCGCGCGGGCTTGTGAGAAGTCCCGCCGCCTTCTGAGAGGGCCTTTTCCGTCTCGTTTCCCCTCCCTCGCTCGACGCCGACTGACGTCCTCGCGTCGTGGAGCAGTCACAACGGAAGGCTTCTGGCAACACGTTCGGCCTCCCGTGGCTCCCTCCCCACGCCCCGCGGGCCGCCAGAACACGGCTCGGGACCGGGAGAGGGTCAAGACCTCTTGGGAGCCAAGCTTTGAGCAAACAACAACAAAAAACGTCCGATCCCCCGTCGGATGTCCGGGTCCACCGCCGCTAATCCCTGCACTGATGGACGGACTGCCTGCTCGCCCACGCCTGCTGGCGCGGGGCGGTACATGTGGCTCGCACGTGGCCCGTGCAGGACGCCGCGACGGTGCCGTCGCTTCGCCGGAGAAGGAACCCCTCCCCCAATCGCCCTTCCACAGTGCCCTTCACCCAGCCTCCCCCTCCCACCGCCCGTCCCCGCCGGGGTGGAGGTGCAGAGTAGCAGCAGGACCTGAGGAGTGAGATGCCTCGGCCAGCTCACAGCCTGCAGCCACGCAACTCACGGCAGCTCGCCAGTTGCCCCGCTCATCAAGGCAGATCGTACCAGCCCGACCCATACATGTCAGCCTAGACTCGCCGGTGTTACTCTTTCCAGTCTTGCACGGCCGTTGGGCCGGTCAAATTCACGCTCACGTGAGGGGCACTCGTGAGGAGATGCTCCGCCTCTCTCTGTCACTTTCCCCTCCTTTCCCGTGCAGCCCCGTCAGGGGCATTTCGCACATACCTTGCGGGACCTACCTTGGATGTTTTGACGGTGGCGCAGGCCATCACGGCGGGGTACCCCTCCGGGGAGAGTCGAGCGGCCGACGGTGTTCGCTTCGAGCCTCTGGGGCAGGGCTGAACCTGAACGGTGCCTTTCGTTTTCCTTGTGCTTTCGTTTTCCCTCGTGTTGTCTTCCATCCGCCTTTTTCCCGCAAACCGAAGGTCGGAACGAAAACGGCCCACGAGATCGCCAAAGCGTCGTTGAGGGCCAGCCCTGGCGCGACAGAAGGGGCAAGAAGGCTGGACGATATCCGGTGCGGGGTGGGAGCGGCGAGGGGCGCGGCAGAGCAGCAGCGCGCCACCCCCGCGTGCGGCCGCCGCCCGCCCGCGGCGAGCACGGCGGGGTGCCCCATCCAGGGAGGGTCGAGCGGCCGACGGTGTTCGCTTCGAGCCTCTGGCACAGGGCTGAGCCTAAGCGGTGCGTTTCGTTTTCGTGCTGCTCTCGTTTTCCCTCGTGTTGTCTTCGATCCGCCTTCACCGCAAAACCGAAGGTCGGAACGAAGCTGGCCCACGAGATCGCCAGAAACGTTGTTCAGGGCCAGCCCTGGCGCGACAGAAGAGCGGCTGGATCCGCCTGTCCCGCAAAACGGAGGTCAGAACGAACACGGCCCACGAGATCGCCAGAAACGTCGTCTGGTCTGGGGGTCACGCGTCGCCAGGTCTTGCTCTTCATGCTGGAGCGCTGTTTGCGCCTCCCCCTCCCCCCCGCCGCCCGCCGGGCACTCGCGCCTCCCCCCGTCGGGATGCGGAGCAGCGGCGCAGAGCGGAGCTGCTCGTCTTTGGTGCGGACATCTTGCCTCGTTCTCCGTGCACGCCTGTCGGGCGTGCTCCTCTAACCCTTGTTGTGTACAGTCAACCCGTAATTACAGTAAGGATGCGCGATAAGGATGCAGAGCCCTTGGAAGCCCATTTCGAAGTTTTCGACGAGGAGGACGAGGAGGAGGAGAACGAGGAGGAGGAGGACGACGAGGAGGACGAGGAGGAGGAGGAGGAGGAGGAGGAGGAGGAAGCCCCGAATTGTTTTTGATGGTCCTGGGGCCAGGCAGAGGGCCCCGGGAAGCCGGAAAAAAATACCAACAAAACCTCATGCCGTGGTCTTAGAAGGACGGGGAGGACCGCAGGCCAAGAGATTGGTCCAGGATGCGTTCCAGGATTTCCAGCGTTTCTGGCGGCCCTCGTTTTTGACGCCCGTCTGGGACGTGAGGGAATATGGGAAGTCCTGGATACCCTGGAAATCTTTAGAGGGCAGAGAAACCACCCCCTGAATAGCCACCCCGATGACCGAAGCCGTTGAGCAAACGCACCCGAGGAGGGAACCGAACAGGGCAAGGCTGTCTCGTTTGGTAAACGTCAGTTGTCGGGCCTGGGCGGTTGTTCATCCCTTGGATATCTTGGAACGCATCATGATCACGACCTCCCTGCTCCTCGGAGAAGGGGGAGGAGGAGGGGGAGGAGGAGGAGGAGGAGGAGGAGGAGGAGGAGGAGGAGGAGGAGGAGGAGGAGGAGCTGCGCGACGAGGGGAGGCAGAGCTGGGCCTCCAGGGCTGCAGGCGGACATGCGACGGCCGTGCCGCCGGCCGCCCCCGCCCCCCAGGGCGCCCAGGGCCCCGGGGCGCACCGAGATCTGGCCGCGCTGGAGGCGAACTGCCTGGCGGCACAGGAGCGGGGGGGGGGGAGGGAGGGCGAGCGATTGGGAAGGGGGGGGAGGGAGAGGGGGAGGGAGAGGGAGAGGAAAGGAGAGAGAGAGAGAGAGAAAGAGGGAGAATGGAGAGAAAGAGAGAGAGAGAGAAAGAGAAATTGAATTCGTACGACTCTGGCCTGGGGCGCCCTCACCACGCTGCTGGGCCCAGCCCCTGGTAGTACCACCCTGGGGGACACGCTGGTCGCAATCGCCCACCGTGGTTGACGCTCAGGGGAGAGGAGAAGGGAAGAGGGATCCAGGTCCTGGCTCTTCCCACGGCCCCAGACCCCTCGAGGCAGCCCCAAGACCCCTCAAGAGGCCCGCGAAGAGGCCGACGGAGGGCCCAAAAGGGCCCCGAAGCGGCCCGGGAAACAAACAACAGAACAGCCGCGCGACACGACGCAGCCGCCGAGCCACATGCCACATCGCAGCTTCTGCTGCGCAGCGTCCCCCCGAGCGCAGTGACAGACGTGCGCGGCAGCGCAGCCGCATCCTCGATGCGAGCACATGAGCATTTCCGCTGCACTGATAGAGGCCTCCCACAGGGGGTCCGAGCAGAGGTGATCGGAGGAGTGCGCCGACGTCGCCGATGCATCGCCGATCCGTCGGTGATACATCGGCGACGTCGACGACGCATCGGCGATGCGGCGCGATCCTCCGACCCCATCTGCTCGGACCCCGTGGGGAAATGCAACCGAGCCATGCACCTCCGCAGTGGAGTACTGGGTCGTCTGCCGGACGCCTTCCTGTTGGCCCCCGCGCGAAGACGTGGTGCACCCACCTCGCATCGCATGCCTGCCCTTTGGTGTGCAGATTCCTCCGTGGAAAGTGCAGTCGATGATGCGCGAAGCTGAACAGGTGAAAGATGAGGCAGACAGATGAACAGGAGAAGGATGAGGAGGAGGGAGGTGGGGGAGAAAGAGGAGGAGGAGGGGGAGGAGGAGGAGGAGGAGGAGGAGGAGGAGGAGGAGGAGGAGGAGGAGGAGGAGGAGGAGGGGGAGGAGGAGGAAGAGGAGGAGGAGTAGCGCGCGGTGGAGGGCGAGATCCCTCCGACGCCCGCGCCGCGGGCGCCCGTCCGCGGGGGGCCCCCAGGCTGGGAAGCCCCCCGACCGTGATGAGGCCGACCGTCAGCTCGTGGCCGAACACGCAGTTCAGGTCGGCCCCGCGATGCCGCCCCAGCAAGCCCCCGTCTCAATCCGAGGGGCGCTCTCGGGGGGCGGACCTGCTGGGGCAGCGGCGCCCGCCTGGCGCACGGCCCCGCTCAAGCCCGTCTCAATCCCAGGGGCGCTCTGGGGGGGCAGATGAGCGGGGCCAGCTCCCGTTCCAGCCGCGGCGCCCGACGCCGAGGCCGTGTCGACGCCGAACTCACCAGGCTCTCCTGGACCATCGCCAGGCTCGCCAAGTACTGGCTCCAGTCGAGTGACACGAACTGGCACCCTCGCGGACACTGCGGGGGCCATACCCTTCGCCAACCTCGCCAGCGCCAGTTTGCCCTTCGAGCCAGCTTGCCCACACTCCTTGTTGAAGGTCGACGGCCTGCACGTTGCCACCGTGCCACAGACCGTGCACATGATGAATGGCGTATCCTTCGTGAGGTCCGCCTCCTTGAGCGTCCACAGCTTCACAAGCACATGCTTCGGTGGAGGAGGAGGAAGAGGAGGAAGAAGAGGAGACGGGGCGAGAGCGCCGGCTACGTGGCTGCCCCCTGGAGGAACGCTGGCGGTGCGGAGGAAGTCAGAAGGAGAAGGCCCTCTCAGAAGGCGCGGGACTTCTCAGAAGCCGAACAGGTGAAGGATGGGGCAGACGGATGAACAGGAGGAGGATGAGGAGGAGGAGGTGGGGGAGGAGGAGGAGGAGGAGGAGGAGGAGGAGGAGGAGGAGGAGGAGGAGGAGGAGGAGGAGGGAGGAGGAGGAGGAGGAGGAGGGAGGAGGAGGGAGGGAGGAGGAGGAGGAGGAGGAGGAGGAGGAGGAGGAGGAGGAGGAGGAGGAGGAGGAGGAGGAGGAGGTGGAGGAGGAAGAGGAGGAAGAGGAGACGGGGCGAGAGCGCGGGCAGCGTGGCTGCCCCCTGGAGGAACGCTGGCGGTGCGAAGGAGGCCGGCAGGTGGGCAGGCGGGCGAAGGGGGCCAGCCCTCAAAACCCTCCTGGGGCCAGGAGCACGCGCGACGCAGACCTCCCGCGCCGGGTCTTCTCGCGACGCGGGCCCCAAGGGCCCTCGACCCCACGGGAAGGCGGCCCCGACCAGGCCAGCGACGAGGGGGCGGTGCAGGCTCGGCGGGGGCTGTTCCTCGAGGGGGAGGTCCCAAAACTGGGGCATTGCCTTGTGTCGGCGGCGAGCGAAGGGGGGGGGAAGTCAGAAGGAGAAGGCCCTCTCAGAAGGCGCGGGACTTCTCAGAAGCCCTCGCGCCTTCTGGAAGGTTTTTTGTGCCTTCGGGGACAGCTTGGAAGATGTCTCAGAAGTCTTGGGGACTTCCGAGCCTTCTGAGAAGGCCCGCCCCTTCTCGTTTCCACCCCTCGCTCGCCGCCGATTCTGTTCGGCCGACGGAAGAAATCTGTTGTGAACCTCCAGGCGTTTGCGCTGCTCCGCACCTGGAGCGCGTCCAGCTCTGGGGCGCCCAATCGTGGCCACGAGGGAGACACGCCACAATCCGAATTCCTGTGTCCCTCCCACCTCCCCCTGCTCGGCGAATGGAGCAGCAGCATGAGCTGGAGCGGGAGCGGGAGCGAGAGTCTCAGAAGGACGCTGGGGGGGGGGGGGGGAAGCAGCCCCTGATCGGACCCATTGCCACCAGCAACGAGATACGAGGAGGAGGAGGGGCAGGACCCAGAGCAGGAGCACGAGCAGGAGAAGAGGCAGGAGCAGGAGCAGAAGCAGGAGGAGCAAGAGGAGCAGCAGGAGCAGGAGAGGACAAGGAGGGGGAGCAGGAAGAGGAGGCTGACTCCACCTCTGAGCAACAGAAAAGGACGCAACGAGCACCGAACTGAATGCCAGACCAACTGAGAGAAGGAGAATGGGGGCGATGATGAGCCCCGGGGCCTCCTGGCTCTGCGCAGCCCTGGCCTTCTGGCCCTTCGAGGCCCGGTGCGGCGGGTCCCCCTGGGCGTGCACGGCCGCCGCGACCACCGGCGGCGCGCCGGAGGCGACGACGCTGAGTCTGGCCTCGTGCGGGAGGGAGCCCAGGCCGGCGCGGCCCGGGCACCGTGGCGACGGGGGGGGCCGTCACATCCGAGCAACGCCACCCGTTCCAAACGGGTGATGAGCTGCACGAGCACAAACGTGGACATGTACAGCACTGAACTGCGCTAGAGGAAAACACAGCGGCGTGAGCATAAATCCGCCGACACCACAGGCGTGTGCGACCAAATGTGCGTCGTGTTGACATGTTCTCAAGCCCCCCACCCTACAACTTCCGGCCCAAAACCCACCGACGCCCGCCACCGTTCCCCCTACCGCGCCTCGGCACCCCCACTGCCCAAAACCTCTGCTCTTGGAACCTCCACCTTTGAATTCCTGGCCCGAAACCCACCGATGTTCACCGCGCTCCCCGCCGCGCCCAGGCACACCCCACCGCCCAGAACCTCTGCTCTGGGATCCCTCCGAAACCTTCTACTGCTGGAGCCCCCCACCCTATACCCTCTGGTCCAGAAACCACCGACGCTGCCCACCGCGCCCCCCACCGCGCCCCAGCACCTCCACTGCCCAGAATCTCTGCTCTTGAAGCTCCCCACCCACACCACCGCGCTCCCGCACCACCAGTGCCCAGAACCTCCGCACTTGGAGCCCCCACCTTGCAACTTTTGGCCGACAACCCACAGAAGCACCCCACCGCGCCCCGGCACCTCCACTGCCCAGTACATCTGCGTTTGGAGCCCCCCACATTTCAATTTCTCACCATGAACCTACCAACGCCCCCCACTGCGCTCCGGAAACACCACCGCCTGAACCTTTGCCCTGGCACCCTCCCACAATACAATTTCTGGCCCAGAACCCACCTACGCCCCCCACCGCGCCCCTCACCGCGCTCCTGCATACCCACCGCCCAAAACCTCTGCTCTTGGAGCCCTCCACCTCACCACATACCGACGCCCACCAACACGCCCCCCACCGCGCACCGGCACCCCCACCGCCCAGAACCTTCGCTCTCGGAGTCCTCCAAACCTAAATCTCTCGCCTGGAACCCACCGACGCCACCCACCGCGCCCCCCACTGCGCCCTGGCACCCCCGCCGCCCAGAACCTCTGCTCTTTGCGCCTTCCACCCGGCCATTTCTGGCCCAGAACCAACCAACGCCACCCACCGCACCCTTTCGCCGCGCCTCGGCACCCCCCGCGCTCAGAACCTCTGCTCTTGGAATCCTCCGATTGCAATTTCACAGGGCCGTGGGCACACAATTGCACTGGGCGGCAGAAGTGCCAGGGCGCAGCGGGGGCGCGCCCCCCACCACTCCACAGCACCCCCACCGCCCAGAACCTCTACCCCCCCGCCCTATAATTTCCAGCCCACAATCCACCGACGACCTCCGCTGCGCCCCTCACCGCGCCTCGACACCCCCACCGCCCAGAACCTATCGTCGAGCCTCCTGCCGGCCCACAACCTCTCCACCTGGAACCCCAACCCCACCTGACAATCCCTGGCCCACCACCCACCGACGCACCCCACAGCGCTCCCCACCGCGCCCCCGCACTTCCACTGCCCAGAACATCTGCTCTTGGAGCCCCCACCGCGCCCCCGCACCTCCACCGCCCAGAACCGAGCCCCCCACCTTACAATCTCTGTCCCAGAACCCACCTACGCCCCCCACCACGCCCCCCACCGCGCCCCAGCACCCCAACGGCCCAGAACCTCTGCTCTTCGAGCCCCTCCACCACGAAATTTCTGGCCAACAACCCATCGAAGCAGCCCACCGCGCCGCGGCATCCCTGCTGCCTGGAACCCTTGCTCTTGGTGCCCCCACCCTACAATGTCTAATCCAGAACCCACCGAAGCCCACAGCACCCCCACCGCCCAGAACCTCTGCTTCTGAAGCCCCCCACACTTCACCTTCAGGCACAGGACCCAATTACGCCCCCCACCGCGACCCCCACCGCGCCATGGCACCCCCACCGCCCAAAACCTCTCTTTGTTTTTGAACCCGCCCCAAGCCTTTGATTTTGGAGCCCCTACCTCACACTTGCTGACCCAGAACCGACCGACGCCCCCCACCGAGCCCCCCACCACGCCTTGGCACCCCCACGGCCCAGAACATATGTTCTTGTAGCCCCCAGCCCAGAACCTCTGCCCTCGGAGCCGCCCACCATAAAATTTCTAGCACACAACGTTCCTCACCGCGCCCCACCGCGCCCCCGCCCACCCAACGCCCAGAGCATTTGCTTCTGGAGCCCCCCAGCCTTCATTCTGGCCCAGAACCCACCAACGCACCCGACCGCGCCCCGGCACCCACCGCCCAAACCTTCGCTGTTGGAGCCCCCCAACCCTTCAATTTGAGGTTCCCCACCGACGCCCCCCACTGCGCCCATCACCGCGCCCTGGCACCCCCACTGCCCAGAACCTCTGCTTTGGGAGCCCGCCACATTGTAATTTCTGACCCAAAACCCACCACCACCACCACCACCACCACCACCACCCACCGCGCCCCGGCACCCCCGCCACGCAGAGCCTCTGCTCAAGCGGCCTTCCACCCCAGAATTTGTGGTCCGTACCTCACCGATGCCTCCTACCGCGCCCCCCACCACGCCCCGGCATCTCCACCGCCCAGAACCTCTGCTCTGGGAGCCCCCTACCGTACAAATTCGGGCCCAAAACCCACCGACGCACCCACCGCGCTCCTCACCGCGCCCCAACAGCCCCACTGGCCAGAACCTCTGTTTCTGGAGCCCCCCACTCTACAATTTCTGGCAGAGACCCACCGACGCGCCCCCCACCGCGCCATGGCACACCCCGCGCCCAGAACCTCTGTTTTCGGAGCCCCCACCCTACAACTGCTGGCCCTGAACCCACCTACGCCCCCCACCGCGCGCCAGCACCCCCACCGCCAAAAACCGCTGTTTGCAAATCCCCCCGAACCTCTGTTTCTGGAGCCCGCCACCCGACGTTCTTCGACCCAGAACCCACCCACGTTCCCCAGCGCGCCGCGGCACCCAGACCTTCAGCTCTTTGAAACCCCTGACGCGCCCCACCGCACCCCCAACGCGCCCTGACACCCACGGCGCATCCACCCTAGGAGCTCCCCACCCTACAATCTTCGGCCCACAACCCACTGGCGTTCCACCCGCCCCCCACCGTGCCACGGCACACCCACCATCAAGGACCTCTGCTCTTGGAGAGCATCACACTAATTACAAATGTCTGGCCCAGAACCCACCGACGCGCCACTCCGCGCCCCCCGCCGCGCCCTGGCATCCCCACCGCCCAGAACCTCTGCTTTTGGCGCCCTCCACCTTCCTTCTTCTGGTCCAGAACTCACCGACGCCACCCACAGCGCACTGGCACCTCCACCACCCAGAAAATCTGCTCTCGGATCTCCCTTACAATTTCTGGCCCACAACCGACCGACGCCCCCCACCGCGCTCCGGTACCCCCACCGCCCAGCACCTCTGCACTGGGTACCCACCACCGTGCAATTTCTGGCCCAGAACAAGGCGACGCCCCCAACCGCGCCCCCCACCGCGCCACGGCACCCCCACCGTCCAGAACCTCTGCCCTGGGAAATCCTTCCCGCTTGAGAATTTCTGGCCCACCCACCGACCCCCCACCGACCCCCCCACCGCGCATCCCAACGCGCCCCAGCACCCCCACTGTCCAGAGCCTCGCTCTTGGAGCCCCCAACCCCACAATTTGTGGCCCAGAACCCATCGACGCCCCCCAGAACCTCTGCTCTTGGAGCTGTCCACCCTACAACAGTTTGGACCAAAAATCACAGACACCCACCACCGCGCCCCCCGCCCAACTTGGCACCGTCACCGCCCAGAACCTTTGCCCTTGAAGCCCCATCCTACAATTCTGCCCCAAAACCCACCGACGCCCCGTACTGCGCTCCCCACCGCGCCCCTGTACCCCCACCGCCCAGAACCTCTGCTGATAGAGCCCCCAAACCCAATATGATCTTGTCCAAAACCAACGACGCCCCCACCGCGCATCCCACCGCGCCCCGGCACCCCCACCGCCCAGAACCTCTGCTGATAGAGCCCCCAAACCCAAGATCTTCTTGTCCAAAACCAACGACGCCCCCATCGCGCATCCCTTCCAGAAGAACACCAAATCTCCGACATATACCTGTGACAGATCTGATTTCCCCCAAACATGTACAAAAACAAACCGGCAGGTTCGTGGAAGGCCTTTGCCAAAAAAACTCTTTAGGCGTTTCGACTACTCTCGGGCAAACGGCTGGCGATCCCCATAGCTACCCCAGAGCGTGCGACACACTGTGTCTACCCCATATCCGCCGCCATGCCTGCGCCGCACCGGCGCGACGGACTGCCAGTCAACTGTCTAGCACGGCTTTTGAATACACCTCTACAAAGCCCCCCCAACCCCGAACGGCACGCCCTCCCGTGGCGCCCGGGCGTCTCATTGCGCCGGCGCCCCCCCGACTTCAGGTTCGATCTCGGGCCGCGGCGGCTGAGCGCCCCGCGGCGCTGGCGCCCGCCCGACTTCATGGGCGCACCCAGGGAGAGATCCGCCATGTGGCCCAGCGCCGATCCCAAAAAATCCACGCGGACCTCGGGAAAAATGTGTCTATGCCTTTTTTTTGAAGGGTCCCTGGGACACACGAATAAATACACACAAATGAAAAGTTCCCCCCTATTTTCCAATACTTTCTGGGTTTCTGTCTTCCCCCCCACTTCCCATAGTTTCCCATACTTTCTGGGGCGTCGACGATGAATTGTATATGTGTGTTTTTTATTTGTCCCTCCTGATTATTCTTCTTCGACTGGTGCACGCTCGAGACGCTGGAGGCCCGGGCCGCGCCCGTGGGACCGGACGGAGAGCGGCAGCCCCCGCGGGCCAAGCAGAAAGTCACCCCGAGGGCAGGCGCGGCCCGCCTTGGCGGCAGCGGTCGCGCCGTGGTCGGGCGCCGCGGCCCGCGCCGCCTGGTCAGCGCGGCGGCCGCCAGGTCTCGTTCCGTCCCGTCCTCCTCCTCCTCCTCCACCACCACCTCCTCCTCCTCCTCCTCCTCCTCCTCCGCCTCCTCCTCCTCCTCCTCCTCCTCCGCCTCCTACTCCTCCTCCTCCTCCTCCTCCTCCTCCTCCTGCTCCCCCTCCTGCTCCTCCTCCTCCTCTTCTTGACTCCGCGGTTTGCACCGCAGGCGCTAACCGTCGTTGCTCGAGAGAAAGAGAAAGAGAGAGAGAGAGAGAGCAGAGAGAGCAGAGAGAGAGAGAGAGATCAGAGAAAGAGGCGCCGACGTCGCGTAAAGCGAACGGACAGCAGAGCGATGCGCGCGAGCCTCAGGCCAAGGGCAATGGGGGGCGCGAGCCCGAGAAGGGAGGGAAAGGGGGAGAAGCCAGGAGAGGGGAAGGACCGAGCGGGACAGAGCCAGGGAGGGATAGCCAGAGAGCGAAGCGCAGAGGCCAGGAGGAGGGGAACGAGGCACAGGAAAGACTGAGCAGAAGAAAGCGAGAGGAGGAGGAGGAGAGAAACAAGAAGAGGTGGAGCGCAAGCCGAGAAACGGCGGAACCCGAACGGACGCGAACGCGACACCCGACCGACGACAAGAACGACAGCGCGAACCGACACGACACGAAGACGACCACGGCGACGACCACAAACCACGACGCAAGACGGCAGCGACACGACAAAAACGGAAGGACACCCTCCTCCTCCTCCTCCTCCTCCTCCTACTCCTCCTCCTCCTCCTCCTCCTTCTCCTCCTCCTCCTCCTCCTCATGTGAATGTTACTCCATACAATGTATGTGCACATATGCTTCGGAGACGTGTAGCACTATGTGTGCAACCCCTTCCTCCCCTTCCCCCTTTCCAGCATACAGTGTAGCATGGCACGTAGCAGCAGGCAGCAGATAGAGCACGCATGTTAACATGTACGACGCTGTTCCAGTTCGAGAGGCCTCTCGCACTTGGCAATAAGAACGCGTATCTCCCCCCGGCGCGCACGGCGATAGTCGAGGAACGCCTGAGGATGATCGAGAGAGTGAGGCTGATAGTGGAGGAACTGCGATCTGAGTCGAGAGAGAGTTCGACGACTTAGTGTGCGATCGAATGTATGGCGTTTGCGGCAGAGCTACGGCTCCCAAGGCCACGACGAGACGGGACCGCCGACGGGCGGCAAAGGATCCTGGAGCAAGGACGGCACTGCACGGCATGCTGGCCAGACACCCGAGTTCGATACCTCCCTGGAGAACTACAAGGACTTCAGGATCAAGGTGCAGATCCACGCCGCCAGATGACGGAGCCGCGGAGCTGCCGACCGGTTTCGAGGGTCTCTTCTTCCGCGTGGCTCGCAGGCCGAAGGAGCCCCTGATGGAGTGCTCGACGAGGTTCCGCATGGCGGAAAGGTCAACCTCTCGGAAGAGGTGATGGGATGGTTTCTCCTGTGGCGAGCCGGCCTAGACAAGTAAGGGAAGTGGAGAGCCAAACGAAGACTACGTTCCGCCTGGACTCGCTGGCGTCATAACGGGCAAGCGCTGAAGCTGCCGCGTACCAGGTGGACGAGTACTACGAGGACGACGACTACCAGGAGGGAGCATACTACGCTGAGGAAGACGAGTACCCCAGCAACGACGATGACGGTGACGACCAACAGGTGGAGCAAGGAGGTGCCAGCGACTTCGACAGCGAGGCCTGCTGCTGCAGCGGCACGGTTTACATATGCATTCCGCAGATCAGGCAGCGTACAGCGTGGACGAGTATGATGACGTCATGGCCACCGCCGACACCGACGCCCCGAAGAAGACAGACGGTACGAGGTTGGCCAGGGGTCTCCACCCGGTCATGGCCGTGGTGCAGCCGCCGACGCCACCAGCCAGCAGCACCACACCGATCGTTCCTCGACGAGGTGGCGGCCACGCCCGCGGAGGGCCGAAAGGCAAGGCAGAGAAGGGAAAACCGGCAAAGGGGCGCGGCGAGACAGGGTGCCAGAGAGGACCACGACCAGGACTTGCAGCACGCGGTGCAGCGCCTGAGGTGTGGATAACGAAGCCATCTCGCTCGCGACTGCCCGCACCAGAGCAGTAAGCGAGCCCACGTGGCCGAGGACGCGACCGACGTCAGGGTGATCACCGACATGGAGCCCGACCTGATATACAACTCCGAAGACCAGGACCCAACGAAGCCATACATGACAGTGGAGCGAACAGCGTGACATGCTCTGGGGCGGCAGCAACGAGAAGGGCGAGGCGCGCTTCGACTCAAGGGTCCAGGAGCTCAAGAGGGTGTTCAAATTCAAGACGTTGGAAGATACAGAGAATGGCACGCACGATCTTGTAGGAGATACCTCAATGGATGTTTGTGGCATCCAGCTTAGTCGAAGGCTGGATGAAGATTATCCATTGGGTTGACAAGCCTGCATCAAGCAGCTGAAGCATATCACGGTCACGAAGGCTAGGGCGAATGATCACAAGCTGGCCATCACCGAGGGCGAGCGCCAAAAACTACGAGGACTGATGGGAAATCTTGCGTGGCCCAGCGTGCAGGCGGCGCCTCACTGGCATTGTAGCGTCAGCATAGGCCAAAGAACGATCAACGGCAGCGCCATCGTGCAGGACCTGATCGAGGCCAACAAGACGCTGAGGTTCGCCAAGTCCAGCAGTGACGTGTGCCAGCTCTTTACCAAGATATGCGATAACCCCAACGACGTGGCCTTCGCTTGCATGACGGATGCCGCGTGGGCGGCACGGAGGGACGCAAATTCACAGGACGGCTAGTTGATCATGACCACCCAGGAGGACGTGCTGAAGGGCGCGACCGTCAAGTACGTGGTGGTCGACTGGCAATCGTGGAAGCTACCGAGGGTAAGCAGGTCCTCGTTGGCTAGCGAGGCCCAGGCCACCGCAGGCGGAGTCGACGCTCTGGAGCGCGTGCAAGTGTACTACAGCCTGATACTCGACCCGAGCTGGAATCCGAAGCTCACCGCCACCTTGCAGGTGCTTGGCAAGAGCGCGCTCGTGGTGGACGCGAAGGCTCTCACGACGCCGCTCAGAAACGCCACGTGCACAACTTCGACGACAAGCGGACCAGCATCGACGTGCAGGTGCTGAAGGAGCGCATGATGGCGAGTGCGACCGGCTGGCACTGGGTCAGCTCAGAACAGCAGTTTGCCGACGGTTTCACGAAGCTGGCGGCGCGACAGCTACTGGCCAACCGCCTCAGATCTGGGACGATCAGCTTGATGTACGACGACAAATTCCAGGTTGCGAAGAAGAAGAACGCCAAGGACACACAGCCGTAGGAGAGGAAGCACACCATTCCGAAGCTGAAAACGGTGAAGAAAGCAGCGGCAACGGCAAGCCTCGTTGGCATGGTGACTGGAGCCAGTAACGTGGACAAGTACAGCGCGAAGGAGGACGACGGCCTGGTGAATTTCGTCTGGCACGACACTCCTACGATCGTGACCAGCATTCCCACAATGACCATGCTGAAGCGGATAATGAACGTCATTGTATGCATTATGACTGTGGCCAGAGTTTGTATTGCAGGGTGCCGTGACAAAGCACAGACTACGGATACTACTGCAGAGTGCCGTGACAGAGCACAAATGACAAATACTACTTAAGGGTGCTGTGACAGGGCACAGACTACGGATATCATCCCCAGCGACAGCGAGAGGAAGAAGAAGCAGAAGGAACAGAAGCGAACCTACTGCGACACAGGAGTGATGAACCAGGTCACCTATACCGGAGTTGGCAAGGAGAGTGGAGATCGATACGTACACCAGACCGAGGGTTTCATCAGGGCATGGAAAGTGACACGCGAGTACGTGCAGGCCTCGAGTCCCACGGTGATTGAGTTGGCCCAGCAAAACACGTGTTGCCTTTCCTTCCTTTCTCGCTGTTCTCATCTCTTTCCTACTTCTCGCGCTGTAGCAGAAGTTGGACCGACCCGAGGTTTGACCAGACAGAAATATACAGCTGCTGACTTCAAGGGCGCAGCTCCTCTCGAGCTAATGATGTTTTATGTTTGTGCGTGCTGCTGAAACCATACGTTCAGACTTGATGAGGTGAATATGTCCTTCCTTTAGCTTAATTTGCCCTTTCTTACCAGTCTGAACTGTACTCCATACAATGTGTGCTTGTATATGTCTCGGAAGCGCGTAGCACTATGTGTGCAACCCCTTCCTCCCCTTCCCCTTTTCCAGCATGCAGTGTAGCATGGCACGTAGCAGCAGGAAGCAGATAGAGCAAGCATGTTAGCATGTACCGACGCTGCTTCAGTTCGAGAGGCCTCTCACACTTGGCAAAATGAACGCCTACCTCTCCCCGGCGCGCAGGGCGATAGTCGAGGAGTGGTTCGAGGACGATCTGGCAGGAACTGCGATCTGAATAGAGAGAGCATTCAACGACTTAGTGCGCGATCGAATCGTTGACACCTCCTCCTCCTCCTCCTTTTCCTCCTCCTCCTCCTCCTCCTCCTCCTCCTCCCCCTCCTCCTCTTCCTCCTCCTCCTCCACGTTCTCCTCCACGTTCTCCTCCCTCTCATCCATCCTCTCCCGCCACACCCAACACGCCCTGCATCTCGAGAGGAATCGCGGCGGTGGCTGTTTGTCCCCGTGTTCGGCCGCCTCCGGAGGGTTTCGTTCTTCGGGCTCCAGGACAGTCGAGGAACGACTCGGGATGAGAAGCAGGCCCTGGAATGTGTATATATACATATATAGATGCTGATACACAGATGTATAGGATCGGTGTCGGGGAGCCCGTTTTGGAGAAACGCGTACATCCGATGTGTGGACATCTTACGCTTCTTATCCTCCGTCATTTCACCCTGCGAGTCCGCCCTTCTGCCTTTCCCACCCGGCATCCTCTTCCTCCTCCGCACACTGTTAAAGGGAAGAGGGATAGTCTCTTGATTATGCCCTCAGCGTGCGAGCTTCGGGGATTAGGCGCTCAAGGACTCTTTCTGCGGGATGTGGACAAGCTCTGACTCCCTCACTCACCCAGCAGATCTCAGCGAACTTCGACTTTCGTGGTCCGTGGCCGACCGACCGACCGACCTCGTTCTCCTCCTCCCTCTTATTACGCACCTTCTCCTCTTCGTTTCCGTCCTGCGTGCCTTATCCTTTTCATTGTCCATCCCCTCGTCTCCATTTTCTCTACCACTGCCCTTCCCTCATCCCGCCCGTCCGTCCTCCCCCTCTCCACTTCATGGGAGCGGGTATCGGTAAACCAGTGTCTAGCGGAACCCTGTCGCAAACCTGCCAGTGGTGCATGTTTGAAATGCTTCCTCGGTAACAGAGAAGGAAGCGCCGTAGACCAGAGCAGGGTTATGATAAGAACGCTCTTGTTTACATTGATCCATTATTTCCTCTGCAGTTGTGTTCTGCGAGTTCGTATCCCTCTCAGGGAGCGATCGAATTCCCGCTGCGTAGCTCCACCAGAATTGGCTTGCTGCACGTGTGAGCGATGATCAGCAAATTGATTATCGAAAATTACTCTGGCAAACTCCTCGAGTACCACTGGCGGCAGGCCAGCGCATGACAGAGCGCGAGCAGCGACTGGACAGAACTGCACAATACACGCTCAGTTCACGAGGAGAGCGAGGGGAGAAGGGAGACGATCGGCATGGGCCCCTGTCAAGAGAAAGCTGGCTTCATCCCTCTCAGGGAAAAGCTGCTCTGCGATTCGTAATATGTAAGCGGTGGGGGGAGGGGGGCCCGACGGGGGTCAACATCGCCACGTCCGCGCACGGCCCCAGTGACTGGAGCGCCTTCGGCGCATGGTGACTGTCCACGACACGGCGGGGGTCTATTTTGGGAAATGTGGGCTGGGGTGATCCCCCCCCCCAGCGCTCATGACGAGGCGCGGAACATGGTCCGTGCGTCCCCAGGGCAGCGAGCACGCCTAAAGCACTGCCTTCTTGGATGCTCCGCTCGGAACACGAGAGGCACGTTGGCGGCCACTCCGCGGCCCAGCTGTGGCCGCGCAGGGCCACTGGTGGCCAGGCCACGTCCAGACTGCGACACGCGTCGCGGCCTTTACCCCCGAACTGGGCATCCAGGGGGGGGGGGAGGGGCGGATCCTGCACAGGCAAACGAGCTCCGTTTCTTTTCGTGACAGCCTCGACCTGGCCAGGGAGGTCAACGGAAGGAACCCTCGGCAGGAGGCACGCAGTGGCAGCACCAGCTCCGACCTCGACTTCGGTTGCACCCGGAGACCATGCATCGTCTGGTCTTCGGCGCCAGGGCCGAATATCAAAGGATTCACTTCGCAAACAGGACCCCATACGTCAAAGTCAGAACAAGGAACCACGATGCCGCAGCCACCAGGCCTCGTGATCCCTCCCGGTACATGCCGTCCTGGAGCAGGGGAGGGGAGAGATCTGGGGGAACTGGCATTGTGCTGTTTCTCACTACTTGGCTGTGTTTAACTTCCACTGGAATCATCATGTTTACCGTCTATGTGCCACCCTACCTCTATAAACATCGATCGGCTGTCCCGGAAGGGTAGGGCAGGATGCCACTGGGCAGAGCAGTTCTGGCCAGCTGGTCTCAACTCAGTCTCACGGGTCGCACTTCAGGTCTCGGGGAGGTTGCCCCTGGCTGCGGCAAGACGAGGCGAGCGACCAACTGACGACTGGTCGACAGCCCAAAAGGGCAAAGACGGGGCAGGGTCGACGAAGCCGGCCTGCTCGACAAGTCCAGAAAGCACCCCCCCCCGCTGGGACTCCACGGCGCGGGGGGGGGGGGCCCCGAAGCCTCTGACCGTGGGGCGCCCGCGCGCCTGGGACGGCTCCGACAACAAAAGGGGGGAACGTCGGCGCGTCGCCTTGTCCAGTTCGCAAACAGAAGGCTCGTGTCGTGACGACGACCCCAGTGGTTGGTGGTCCCTGACACAGCGTGGATCGTTCAGCCTTGAGAGATCGGCGACCTTTCGATCGCCGGAGCATCCCGTAGTGACCGACTCGTTGCCACTGGCGGCGTTCAACCCTGAGCGCCCGCGGCGGGGTCGCCGCCGCGTCGACACGACACCGACCTACTTCGGCGGTGAGCCCGGGGGGAAATGAGAGGGGGCAGGCCTTCTCAGAAGGCCCGGCCTCTGGCCTTCTGAGAAGTTTCCTGAGCTTTCCCCGGGGACACGGAAAACTCCTCAGAAGGCGCGAGGGTTTCCGAAAGGCCCCGCAGCCTTCTGAGAAGGCTTGCCTCCTCTCACTTCCCCCCTGGGCGCGCCGTCGAGTGGAGGAGAGAGGCACGCAGACAAAGGGTAGCAGGCCCAAGAGGGCAGCCGAGCCCGAGGCCTTGGCCTTCGCTGCGGCGGGCGGCTTGCCCGCAGCCCTGGCCGCGACCGGCGACCGTGCTGCCGAGGCGGCCTGGGCGGGCGCCTTGGCCGGCAGTGTGCCCGGTCTGGCCGCCACGGGCGCCGCCTGGCCGAGGGAGTCAACAAACAACCGTTTTCTGATGGTCTGGGGGCCCGAAAACGAAGCCCAGGAGGCCGAAACTCCCAAAGGAGAGTCCCGCCACGAACGCTTCGGGATGCCGAGGTCCAGGCCCTGGTCCTCAGTCGACCCCCAGACCGCGTTCTGGCCAGGACTCCGAAGCGAACCCAGCCGTGGCGACGAGGGAGGGCCCCCGAAGGCAAGAAAAATCAAGAAACAGGGAAGGAGGCAGCAGGATCAGTCAGCGCCGAATCGGAACATCGGATCGAATCGGGGATGTGCGTCGGATCGCGCTGCATCGGCACGAAGTCGAAATCGGATCCAATCGGCTGCGCCAGGATGCCCGACAACGCCGTGTCAACGTCGTTCGAATCGAATCGGATCGACATGAACCCTGGGACAGGCAACCGCATGCGAATGGACCCTGCCCATGCAGGCAGATGTCTGAGAAAAACGGCTGGGACTTAGAGACCAAAAGCCGAGCGCAGCCGCGCGAGCCCCAGCATGAAGGGGCCCAGGGGAACACCAATAAACATGTACCAATTCCATATGTTCCCGCATTCTCTTGGTAGTTAACGAAAATGTATGTCTGTGCCTGTTTTCTCCTCCTGACAGCAGGGGTGCCCGACAGGAGTAAGGAATCACAAGTGGCCGCAGATAGGAGGCGGCCGCAGGGTTTACTCAAGTCGGGTCGCAGACAGGCAAGCGGCAGGCAGGTGACCTGCCAGCAACCCGGCTTTCCAGACCGAGCGCTCGAGCAGGGAGGGCGGGAGGGGTGCCACGTGGCTCCAGGGAGATAAGAGTACGCGCGCCTTCTCTGAAACAGGCCGCGATCTGCAGCGTCGACGAGGGCGGCGATCACATGACGCGTGCGCCGAAGCATCACCACGTCGAGGATTGACAGAACCCTATTGAGCAAAACGCCATTCAATGAAAACTGCCAGGGGGAAACTCTACGGGTGCACACCGCAACGAATTTCGAGTACACCTAGGCGCAGTAGCTAGCCGACGTCCCAAAAATTACCGGAAGCACCAGGCAGCGGCCAGCAGACTACAGCCGTTTCCTTTCCGCCGACCTTCTGCCGCGTTCCACCGACGAGATGTCAAACTCTCGTTCCCTCGAAGGCGAGGCCCGCTGTGGAACGCCCCACGCGACGCTCACGCATAACACCCTCTGTTAGCTCGCGCCCGAAGCCCCAGGGCTTGCGGCCCCGCTGGATCGGCCATCTCCGCGCTCCAGCCGAGCTGGTGGAGCGGGCGCTGCGCCGTGGCGTAACGCGTGCTGGATGGCGACCATGACCTGAGCGTGTCTCCCCCTTTCTGCCTCCCTCTGCGGCCGCCTCCGTCAACCATGTGTGCCAAGGTGCACAAGTTGCCAGCCCGCGGCCCATTTCAGCCTGGACCGAACGCGGTGTGCCCCACACGTCGCTGCGACCCAGAAGTTGGGCTGGGCTGCGACGGCGCATGACAAGGAGCGCGGTGCGGCAACGCTCGCAATGGCTCGCTCAGAGCTGCGGCCTGGCCCGCCCCTCGAAGGAGCTCGGAGCCCCGCCAGCGTGACACACGGCCGGAGGCGCTGCGGTCCTCCGTGCCGAAGCCGAGACCACCCCCAAGACGCCGAGGCGACTCCGGATGTCAGCCCCACTCGGCTCCACGCAAGGGAATGACACTACAGTCGGGGCGTTGACCTAAGGAACCCTCAATAAGGAACGAGGCCCCTTTTTCCCATCACTTAAAGTTCGATTTGCCATCGAAAACCTAAGGAAAACCTGAGGCAAGCTGTGAAACAATCAAGGAACACGGAGCCCCTCCCCAACGAAAAGGGTTCCTTCTTCAGCACCCCGACTGTACGCAAGAGTGACCGCTGCTGCGCCGCTCACCGGGGCCGCCTGGAAATGCGACTGCAGCGGCCTGCGTGCCTGGGCGTGGCTCCCCCGCGGGCCCCCGGACGCTGCGCACCAAGGGTCGCTCTGGCGCAGGGTCACTCTTGCGCGGAGCCTACCCGAGCCCACCTCACTCGTCGGGTGCACGCTCACATGGATCGGATCTGGCGCGAGAGCGTCAGAACCACGGATCGGGGGAAGGTACCCCCCGAAACGTGAGGCAAGAGCCGCCAGGTTTGGCCACGGAGCGTGCTGGTCCTGCACGGAAACACAAAAGCCGCGGTCTGGCCACCCCCCCTAGCTGCGCGATGGTGGCGATCTGCTGATGGCAAAGGGGGAGGAGAGAGGAGAGGCGAGACAGAGAGGAAGGAAAGACGACGGAAGGACGAGAACGAAGGACAAGGGTCAGAGGGTAGAGGAAAGAGGGAAGAGGGGAAGTCGAGAGGCCCAAGACGGTACCGTGTACCATGAGGTGCCCTCAAAATCCTGGAAAGTCTTACGGCACGGTCCGTCAACGCCTCGTCTTGGCGTCCTGGAGGCCCCGACCGCCCAAAACATCCTCGGAGAACGACCCAAGTCCCAAAGCCGTGCGGTCACTCTGGACCCCCACTCTGAAAGAGGAGAGAGGGGAGGCGGAAGCGGGCTAGAGGAGAGGGGAGAGGGCACAGAGCTCAGAGGACAGAGGAGAGAGGACAGAGGGCACAAGGGAGATGACAAATGTTTTGATGCGCGGGTCGAGAGCGCACCTCTTCCGGTCGAAGCTAAGCGGGCCGCGCGAAGCTTGAATTAACAAAGAGGGGGGAAGGACAGGGGAGATGACAGATGAAGGGAAAAAAAAGGAGACAGGATAGGGCCGATCAGAGAGGACAGGGTACAGAGGACTGAGAAGAATAATGGGAGAGGGGAGAGGGGAGAGGGGAGAGGGAAAGCTGGGTGCGCAAGCGTCATATCTGACGTCCTACCCCACCATCCCATCCCTTGTTGTTGCGTAGATATCCTCTCTATTCGCACAGTCGCATGTCGAACTGGGCTATCATGCGATGGCAGAGCATAGCAAAGACTCGCGTCGAGAACGCGACTGACTCTGACAACAAGGTCAGAGGGAAACCAGACATGACACAGGACAGGAAATACGAATGGACGGTCTTGAAAGCGGGCAGCGCAAAATGAGATCGGCGCTGCAGCGGGAGCACGATGCCGAAGGACTGCACCTGCGGAGATGAGGCCAGCGCTGCAGCGGGAGCACACTTATTGAAGGACTGGAGAGGCGGAACCGAAGCTGACGCTACAGCAGGCGCACGATGTTGGAAGAAACGAAACCATGAAATGAGGGCAGTGCTGCACCGGGAACATGATTTGGAAGGACGGAGAACGGGAAAATGGAGCCAGCGCTGTAGCGGGAGCGCCACTCCGAAAAGACTGAAAACGTTCGGATCGGAGCAAACGCAAATGGAGCATCGATTCGGGGGCATCGTGTAAAAAAATACGCGGAGGTCAGGACAACTCACCGGCGTCTTCGGGAGAGAGGGGAGAGTAGCATTCAGTGTGCAGTTATAGAGGGACAAGGGAAGAGGAGAGATGGAGAGGAGAGTGGCATACATGGGTGTCCTCGCGCCACATCTGACAGCCTTCCCCTCCCTCCTATCCTTGTTCAGTTGTTCTCATATGTCTGATTGGCCGATCCATGTGTCGAACCAGACCTTGGAGAAGGAGAGGAAAGGAGGAAAGGGGGAGCATAGGAGAGTAGCACGTGCCATGAGCAGTCGTAGTGGGACAGGACTGGCAGACTCCGAAACTAAAGCGAACGACCGAAAACGTACTGGCTGGAAACGCACAAATTCCAAATCATCCTAAGGGAATTCCTGAACGGCCAACCAATCGCGGGAATCTGATGAGTTTCAAAACGGAAACAGAACTGGGGACAGAGGAGAGAGGCACCCCTACTGGGCAGTCACCATGAAGGCCCAGCAGAGAGAGCATCACTGGATTTGCTGCCCGTCCAACGCATCATCGTCGGGAGCAAGCCTTGGCCACGTGCCGCGGCTGCGTGCTCGCATTCGGATGTACCTGCAGCACCTCGGGGCTGGCCGCGCACCCCCCGAGCCCGACCACCGGGCACGCTCCCCCGAGCACGCCCGCCGCCGCTGCCGCCGGAGCCACCGCCGCGCGCCTCCCCCCGAAGGGCCACCCCCGAGAGAGAGAGAGGCCAGAGCGCCCCAAGGGGCCGGAGGAGACCGCAGCGGGGCCTCGCCGACGCTTGGGGGCGACGGGCCAGCGACGTGAGGGGCGGAGAGGGCTCGGGCCCCACAGATCGCGCCGCGTCGCTGCTGGTTTCGGAGATGCAGCGCGGTCCCCGGACCCCCATCGAAGCTGGCCCCGGTTGGGCGGCCTGGAGCTGCCCGGCATCGGCCACTTCTCTCAGCACCTCCTAAATAAAATCCTGTACCCTGCTCTCTCTGGACCTCGTGCACAGCATCCCCCGCACGGCTGCTCCCGCCCTGCATCCTCGCGCTGCTCGCTCTCTGAACCCACGGCACCTCGTGGTGAGGACGAGCATGCAGCGCAACGGAAGTGTGGTTTGCAGTCTTGTTCGCGGCCTGGGCTGCAGTCCACTAGAAACGGGGCCATGCTGTCGGCTGCATCCATCCCTGCACATCTGGAAACCACTGCATGACGCTCTCCCCTCTTCGGCGATGCAGACAAAGAAATGGTTCCCATCATGTTCGCAATCCTGTGACTGGCATACCGCATCCTCGAACAGGTGTAAACGTAAGGGCTTTTGGTTGATATAACGTCGGTATTAGATTCAGACACCGCGTGTATTGTTCAACCTTGAACGATCGCAACTTTCCGAAAGTGCCGATCGATCGATATCGGCCAAGTCTGTGCCACTGGCGGCATTCAACATTCAACGCCCGCGCCAGCGTCGCCGCCGCGTCATCCCGGAGCGAACATGCCGTACACGTTCCCCCCCATGCATCACAGCACGAGGAAGGAAGGAACTCAATCCGCAGGACATGGGGAGAGGCTGGTCGAAGGCTGTCCCACAAGCGTGCGGCAGCAGTAAGGCCAGCGGACTAGTTCCGACACCAAGGAGGCGGAGGAGAAGGAGGGAGAGAGGGAAGAGCGCACCCACCGCAGATGTTGGCATCAAGACGTCATCTTGCACGCTCCCCGCTCTCGAGGCCACCTCCCAAAGACCCCTAGACCCCCCCAGCTAACTGCAAGGCACCCGACAATGGCCCGGCACTCGAAGGCTCAAAGGCGCCTGGCACTCAGAGGTGCCCACCCACAAAGGTCCGCGTGAGGCTCGCGACAGGCACCTGCATAACCATGAGCAAGCAATCAAAACACTGTCACGCTGCATGGCGTCCGTTCTCGACCCAAGATGGCCCACGAAAGCCCGAGCAGGGCACGAAGGTGCCCCCAAAACGCCTATCGCGCCCAGTGGCTTCAACCTTGCACGAGGTTGGTCGCCACGAAGTAGCTCCTGGAGGCCCAGGCACGCCCACGGAAAGGCCCCAAGAGGCACCAACATGGCCCACGAGAGTCACAACATCGCTCCGTTATGACCAAACTGCGCTCAAGAATGACTGCACCCCGACACCTGACAACTGGACCATCGGCCTCCCATGGAGGTACAGCGGTAGCATTGCAAGGGGAGCATCGGGGCACCGCGGAGGGATTGGCAAGGAAGAGAGAAAGCACAGTCGCAACAGCATGTAATATCAAACTGGGTACAAGTCGCTGGCTCAGCTGCCCACTGTGTAATGCAGGTCGGATATATCATGCGCCGCGACTCAGTCGTCGCAGCAGGCAGCCCACTTTCTGCGTTCTGGGGTGCACCTGGGACGCGCTGGTGTGCATCATGTAACACATCGCCTCGCTACCTGGTCTTCGGGCGTCCGCCCCGTCTTTGCGCATATACGCATCGCGTTGCCTCGCACTGCTGGCGGCGACTCTTTGAATATACTACCGCTTGCACCGCTCGGATGTCGTGGTGCATTCAGGGATGCCAACACAAAAATTGCACGTCGGACCCTTGTCCAGCCGGGGTTCGAACATGAAATATTCCTGTAGGACTGCCGCTGGAATAGGCATGCTTCGCACCCATTCAAAATCGCGGCGAGATCCCACCAGCCCTTTAGGGCGTGAGTGGTTTAGGGAGTTTCCTCTTCCAACACCCTTCTTCCCATTCGGGGAGCGGGTGACCACTCCGGCGAGAAGGCAAAATTACAGAGTTCACCAAGGTTGTGGCCACATGTTGGCCTCCCGAGGGGGGGGGCAAGTTTGGCCCCTCCTTTGATCGGTCTCCTGCAAGATGGCCCCAAGATTGCCCCCGAGGCTCCCAAGGGTGCCCCAAGACTGCCCCGAGGGGTGCCCAGGAGGCCCCAAGAGGTCCCCAAGAGGCTCCCAAGAGACCCCAAGAGGCACCCAAGAGCCCAAAGAGACACCCAAGAGACCCCCCAAGAGGACTCCCAGAAGCTTTTGACAGATGTCCAAAAAGACTCCGAGGAGGCATCCAAGAGGACTCTGGCCGTTATTCTCCTCCTCATCCTCCTCCTCCTCCTCCTCGTCCTCCTCCTCCTACTCCTCCTCCTCCTCCTCCTCCTCCTCCTCCTCCTCGTCCTCCTCCTCCTCCTCCTCCTCTTCCTCTTCCTCACCCGCCTGTTCCTCCTCCTCCCTCCTCCCTCCTCCCCCTCCACCTGCCCCTACTCATCCTCCTCCTCCTCCTCATCATCATCCTCCTGCTCCTCCTCCGATTCCTCATCCATCCTCCCCCTCTTGGGGTACGACGTCTTACCACGCCCTTGATTTCCACTGCATGCTCCTCCACATCCCTGATCAGAAAACTCGTCTGGGCATCGTTGTTGGATGGGCTGGTGGGGTTACTGTTTGTCGCAACCGCAAGCGAAAGCGCAGGCGGCGAGTAACGGACCGGGCGGGCCGCGCGCGAACCTAATAAAGGCTGGTGGGGTTACGCGAAGCGTCTCGAATATTACAACGGAACAATCGGCTGTGATTGCTCGAGGAACCCCACCAGCCCGTCAGGGCGTGAGACTTCACTGGCTGCCTAACGTGCAAAATGTCGTTGAGCATCACCAGCAGGGCTCTTGCAGGCATGCGCGCACCCCATCCTTCCGACAGCGTTTCTGGTGATCGCAGTTTCCTGTGAGCTTCCCAAGCCACGAATATGTCAGATGGGGGACCGACGGCAGACGGCGAAATTCGATGAGGCAGAGCCCGAGCGAACCTCATCAGACACGGGTGGTTAGTGTCTAGTGGGGGGGGGGCTGCAGGCGACCCCTCGCCCAGAAAGCCCTGGACGCCGTTACTCGTGTCTCACCTTCTCGGGACATCGTGCTCCTCCATGACCTTCACGTGGTGTCAGGTTGGCCCCAACTGGCCCCAGGAAAGCCCGCGAGAGCCGAAGACGGGCCCCACGACTCCGATACCCCTCAGAAGCCACTCCCTGGCCAGCTCCGCTGGGCGTGCCGCCGGCTCTCCCTTTTCGCAGGAGGGGCCAGAAGCACCGGGCGGTGGAAGAGCAGAACCTGCCGCACGGCATCCACGTGCTCTGGGTGCCCATGGGGGGGGGCGGGTAGATCTGTTGGTTGGGCCGCATGGTAGACTGACTACAGTGCCGTTTCTAATACGTGCTCCGCGTGCGGGCCATGTATTAAACATGCAGGGATTGAAAATTTAAAACAACGATGAGCTCATGCATAAACTTATTCATAACTTAATCATGGATTGAGATCCTATATGTTTAAAAATCCTATGTATAAAAAAAACTGCCCAGGCTGGCGGATGTAAGCTGGAAACCTGTTTCATTCACCACTGCCCAGATCCTGCACCACGACCGCATGCAGGAGAAGGGCTGAGATTTGAAGCACGCAAGACGCCCCGACATCAAAGCGACTGACACGCGCTCATGCCTGTGTGTTCTCCTCCGCTTCAATCTCGCCACGACCTCCCCCCCTGCACCGCTCTTTGTTGGTCCCATATCTCCATCTGGCCACCCCAACATACACCGCGCCACACAAACACACACACACACACACACACACACACACACACACACACACACACACACACACACACACACACACACGCGCACACGCACACGCACACGCACACGCACACACACGCACACACGCACACGCACACGCACACACACACACACACACACACACACACACACACACACACAAACACACACACACACACACTACTCGTGCCCCCAGCCATCCCAGCTCACTGCAGATCGCCTCGGTAAGGTTGTGCGTGCTATGGTGATGGCGGCGGTGGTGGTGGTGGTGTTTCTTCTTTCTCTTCTCCAACACCTGGCCCGTCAAGGAAGGGAAGAGGAGCAGCAGCAGCAGCGGAGAGCAGTGCGCCGTTCGTGTGACAGAACGACAAGTGATGCCAATCGTAGCATGCCATTGACTCTCCCATGCTGGTCCTGCTGCCACGACTGAAAACTCGTGGTCCCAATGACTGGCGGCTCGGCTCCCGTGTCCAACAGCGCGTCCCCCAGGAAGGCAGGGGCACAAGGGAGAAGTGGCACGGAGAAGAGAAGAAGGAAGAACGGGCCTTGAGGGTCCTCCGAAATTCAAGGCGCCAGCGATGGGCGCACCTGAACCCGAACTCCGGGCGCCCCACAAGCCTCCAGGATGATGAGGCCGAAGACCAGAGACAGCCGATGGACGCCCTCCACCAGAACACCACCGCCGAGCCCGACGCAAAGGCTGGCGCTGCGTGCCACCAGCCGAAGGCCCCGAGACACCCCCGCCGCGAGAGAGCGGATGTGGCATGCAGCACCCTGGACGCTGGAGCCCACGGCCATCCGGCATGTGACGAGAATAGTTTTTTGGTCTGCGGGTCGAGAGCGGGCCTCTTCCGGTTAAGAGCTAGGCGGGGCTCGCAAAGCACTAATTGGGGAGACAGGGCGCGGGCGGGCGGGGCCTCAGGCGGCCGGAGGGTAGTGGACGAGAACAGGCACACCATACCTCAGGCGACCACGGCGGCCAGGAAGCGAAGCCTCTATGCTGTGACGAGGGCCCGCGGCGAAGCACGACGGAGCGAGCTGCGCCGAGCCTGCAAAGACTCCACGAGGGTCTACGAGACCTGCGAAGACAAACAGTCGGCAGGCCGCCAAGAGTCCCCCAGAGGCCCCCAGCGACCCCCAAGAGGCCCCAAGAGGCCCCCCCTGAGGCCTCGGGGGGAGCCCGAGGAGCCAGCGAAAAGAGGCGAAAAGAGGCGCCGCCAAGAGGCGCCAAGAGGGCTCTGGTCCGCAACGCAGATGCGGTTCTGGATGGCCAAAGACCACTAGATACTGCCATGTGCTGCACCCACTTCAAAGGAGCCCTCCTGGCCAGGGGCGGCTCTCTCAGGTGGTCTCCGAAGCGGGCTCGTGAGGAGGCTAATAGGGCGGACTCCTGGTAAGGGTTCATGAGGAGGCTCTTGAAGTGATCCCCTGGTCTGGGCTGGCCCCAATAGTTCATGACCCGACGACTGGGGCGCGTTCCTGGAGGTGCTCCTGGAGAATGCAGGCCCCTGGGGATTCCCCCGCGGACGACCCCTGGGGAAGCTCATAATTAGGAGCGGCTCCTGGGTAATCCTCCCGGAGGACAGCTGCTGAAAAATTGCTCCTGGAGAAACTCCCCGGGCGGCACCCGGAGCGGCATCTGGAGAAGACCCTGACGACGGGCTACCGGGACAGGAGGCTCCTTCGGTGCACCGCTGGCCAAGCTGCTCGGGACGCTCCCGAGATGGCTTCCCAGGAGAAGGCCTCCAAAAACGCGTACAGCCTCACAAAAAATGCGCGCTACTACGCAGAAACAAAAGAGGTCAGCAGAGAAACGGGAAAGAAAAGGCAGAAGGTCACTGGAATGCGAGAACGGTGAGGACAGGGCAACCACTACAAACAATCCGACAAATGCATGGGAGGAGGAGCAAAGAGAAGCACTCAAAGCACGAGACGAACTCCCCCTCGAAATCCATCCTTGAACTTGACACATCGTGACAGCGAATGCACGATCTGGGTGCATCCACCCCGCGCATGGGGAGGGAGTCCCAAGCACGCTAGTGCAGGCCAAGAAAAGACCTTATCCCGCTGGACTGGGACAGCTGCTCATAAAGGAAGCAAAGGAAGAGGAGACCTCCAGGTGGAGGACGAGGAGGGGGCTCCGGAAGAGGAAGCAGGATCAGTCGGCTTCGAATCGGGGCATCGGATCGGATCGCAACGTGCGTCGGATCGGGCCGCATCGGCACGGAGTCGAAGCCGAATCGGATCACCTGCGCCAGGATGCGCAACAGCATCTGGCCGCATCGCGCCGCCGAAGATTAGGGAAACGAACAATGGGATGAACATGGTAACTCGGAGGTCCGCGCGGATTTCTCGGATCCGCGCTGGACCCTCCTGCCTGGCGCGCGGAGCGCGCCAAGGGCGGCGCCAGAGGCGCCGCCAGGGGGTCCAGCGCGGATCCGAGAAATCCGCGCGGACGCCCGAGTTTTGTATGTTTATGCCATCCTTCGTTCCCCTGAACATGGGAATCGGACCAGATCGGAACGACACAAATTGACATCGAATCGGCTCGACCGGATCGAAGATCGGCGGTGGACAAACCTCCCTCTAGTAAACCTCCCCGTAGTGAAACCGGCCTGGGGCAGAAACCGACGGACCTGGACCCGCAAAAATCACGGCCCCGACGCCCTCTCGCAAACCGAAAACGGCCAATTCCTGAATCGACGTGTCAGGGTAGGAGGTCTGTCCACCCCCGAGAAGAGGACCCTGCGCTCCCTCCCCCGGTTCTCGGGTCGCAACTCGGGCCTCCGGCGGCCCTTCGGGACGAGCTCCGGGCACCCCGGGGGGGGGGCACGCCCTCGGCGAGGCGCGGGGCTGCTGGCGCGCATCCCGAGGCAGGGGAGCCCCGAGGAGCCGAGCCTCCTACTCCTGGAGGAGGGGACGAGGAGGAGGAGGAGGAGGAGGAGGAGGAGGAGGCGGATGAGCGAGGCGACGAGAAGTGTTGGCGGCCTGGAAAGGGGCACAAACACCAACACGGGGGGGGGGGCCTCCATCGGGGAGAGAGGACCCAAGATTTCGGTGTTGGTGGCAACGTTTCGGTCACCTCGGAGGCCAGAGCATTACCGCGCCATCACCGAGCGGCATCGTCTTCCTCCCTCGGTGGAGGCACACCGCCGATGATGGTGTTGGCGTCAACCTCTAATTAGGCCTGCGAAGGTGGAGGCGAGCAGGGTGGGGTGCTCCCGGGCGCGGACGCGGAGGCGAAAGGCGCGCGCAGGGAGCGCCCCCGGGGGGAGGGCGGGAGCCGCTCCCGAGGCGGCGCGCCTCCGGGTTCGCGGGCGCCACCCAGGCCAGGAGGGCGACGGCAAGGAGCAGTCGCCTGCGCCCCCCGGGCATCCCTCCGCGGCGCGCCGGGGGGGGGACCCTGACCTCCCTGGAGGGCCAGAAGATAGCACCGGGACCTGGACATCCGAACTCCTGTCGGAGTTTCGGGCGGCCCAGATAGGTCTGTAGGTCTCTGGAAGGCTCTTTGTCAGCACTCTGGCAGGTCAGGGGAGGCGGGGGGCTGGCTGGCATCCTCAGAGAGGGGCGCCTCCGAAGGCAGAGGCGGCATCTCAGAGGGCCGGAGGGCTTCGCGCCCATGGGGGAAGCGGCGGGGGGGGGCGCGGGCCCTCTTCGCAGCCAGCAGCTCGGGCGACCCGGGGCTGGCGTGAAGAGCGCCCCGGGCTGCTCGGGGGGCCTACCGGGGGGCCATGCGGAGCCATCTTCGGGGGCGGTCTGCGCGCAACCCCCTCAGCACCCGAGGCGGCCAGCACTCCTCAACCCTCCGCACCTCGGGGGGGGGGGGGGGCGGAGCCGTCTTCCAGGCCATGGTGCCGTCGGAGAACGAGTCGGAATAGCCAGGAGGCAACTACTGGGAGGTTGCCGTCGGAAAGATTAGGGAGGATTGAGCCCCATTTGGGAGCTGCTACGCCAGAGTGGGCCTCGGACTAAGCGGGATTAAGCCAGATTCATCAGGATTAAGCGGGATTAAGCCAGATCAAGCGGGATTCAGCGGGATTAAGCCGGACTTCGGACCAGGGCAATCAGACTTTGACCTCCCAGGAGTTGCATCCGAGGAATAGGACGCCAGGCCCGTGCCTTGAGGAAACCAGCCCTTGGGTGCCTGGGCCACTGTGCTGTCCACTTCCACTTGAAGCTAAGCCCCTGAGGCAGTCAAACGAAGAGGAGGGCTGAGGCGGCAGATGGCAGCGCTGAAGGGAAGGTAGGATGGGGAGAGACTGAAAGAGGTGGAAGTCTGAAAGGGTGGAGTTATCAGAAAGGGAAAGCAAACAAACGGGGCAGATGACAAGAAGGGACTTGAGGAGAACACTGACAGAAAGTGAGGAAAGAAGAACGATGGAGGGACAGAACGACGAGTGCTCCACACGTGCCCCCCCAGCACACACATCAGGACAAAAGAAAGCAAGCATCGAGGACACAGTGCCTGATACACGTCACGAGCCGCGATCCACTGAGCAATCGAATGCACCTCGATGACGTGTAGCGGAATAACCGAACTAGCTACGTTGCCTGTTCACGTTTCTAAGCAAGACAGACATCACGCATCGCCATGGAACGTGCACACATATTTTTTCGCATGGTGTCATTCCGTGTACCATCACTCTTGCATGAGTTTGCACGGCGCAACAGGCTGTCCAACTGAACTCGGACACGTACGCGGATGAATACACACGCGCACACAAACAGCGCGAGGACAAATAGGCAGAACCACCACGTGAGGCCTCTGCTGGGGCTCCCAGATCTGGGAAGACGACACTTGGATATCAATGCGCACAGGTACGACTATGCGGAAGCTCCCGCCGGGGATTCGGAGCACGCGACGGACGGGCGAGGTCCCAACAGCTCTCTCTGGGCGTGGGTGGTTTCACGAGTTCTCTCTTCCAAATTCCCTCTCCTCCTCACCCTGCAGCAGTCAGAGACAGGCTATCTATGGGGGGCTCCGACGATGTCGTGAACACCACAGGCCAGTGTCACGATCCCGCTTCGCGGCTGGGGGAAAAAAGAGCCCCGCTCGAGGGTCCGGCCCCGTCGTGCACAGCAAACCCTTTTCAAGGGGCCCAAGGAAACACACATGAATACACACAAATAAAATGTGTCCCCATATTTTCCTATAGTTTCTGGGCTTTTGTCTTCCCGCCCAATTCCCATATTTTCCTATATTTTCTTGGGGATCGACGATTAAGTGTGTCTGTGTGTTTTTTCCCCTCCTGACCTCTGAAGGTCCCTGAGACGGTACCTTCAGAATCGAGCCAGGGCACGCTGGACGAGATGCGAGCACCAATCCGCCGACCACCCAGTGGGGCACTCGCTGTGCCCCCTGCGAGGGAACGGAGACACGGCTCGGGGAAGCCATCATCTCAAGCGGGCACAGTCTCGCCTCCGACCTCGAGGACAAAAAACGCGTGAGGGATACGCCAGAACAGGGCCACGTGCAATAAAAGGTAACTGCCTGTGGGTGAGAGGGTGCGAGTAATGCGGGCTCATCTGGCCGCGGCACCAAGGTTTGGGAAAGCGCAAGATGCGTCGCGCGGGAGTGTGACTGTCAACGCCAGAAGGCAGGTCGTTGGAACAGGAGCAATGCTGACGGCCGCGGTGTGAGGGCAAACTCGTGGAGGCAGTCAGGAAAAATACCCCGATGTTATCATCCAGGGAGGGTGGCTGATTATGATGCCCGAAGGGTCTGAAGGGATATGATCTGATCTGACCTGTCTGGGAGGTGGTGAAAGGGGCCTTCGGTGTTCCCTCAACTGGGCCAGCGAGGGGGGCTCTGTCTCAGCCTGGCGCAACAACGCAAGCAGTAACTGGCGGGGGGGGCCCGACTCTGATTTGCACCGTGTCCACCTTCGCATGGACGTGGGGATCGCCTCAATGCAAGTCGGGGTTGTCAAACCAGAAGAAGAGGAGGAGGAGGAGGAGGAGGAGGAGGAGGGGGAGGAGAAGGAGTTGGAGGAAGAGCGATGGATGGCAGCGTCCCTCAGGGACCCCGATGCCTTCAGGCTCCCGGCTTCGGGCTCCAGGAGAGGCGATGCCGAAAAGGCGCCGCCTCCCCCCGTGCGAATGCATCGGCGTCTCCCCCCCCCCCCGCGGGCCGCCTCGATCGCATGCCCGCGCCGAGGGAAGATCGAGGACGGCTTCCTGCACGGCCCGGCTCGCTTCGCGGAGGGGGTGAAGGGGGAGTCGCCGGGCTGGTGGGCGGCAGGGAGCGTGTGGGGCGGGAGGGCAGGCGGGGAGAGAGAGAGGCTGGGAGGCCAGGCTTCTGCTCGCAGGCCATGTGGCAGCGCTCCACCGCCCAGAGCGTGACCAGAACACCGGGGTGCGCGGGCGCAGCGGAGGGCCGCGCCCCAAGGGTCGGTGGAACGAAGCAGGGCGAGGCAGCAGGGCTCGTGTCAAAAAATGACCTTTGTGTGCTTCCCTTCCTGCAGATGTAAAGACGCCTCAGAAGCTGGCTGCGCCTAGGATGAGGCGCCTCCAGGAGCGCAAAGACCACGAGACGAACGCCCCCTCGAAATCTACCCTTGAAGTGGATACGCCGCGACAGCGAATGCACGATGCGGGTGCGCCCACGCCGCGCATGGAGAAGGAGTTCCAAGCATGATCGCGCAGGCCAAGAAAATACCTGATCACGCTGCACTGGCACAGCTGCTAATAGGCCACCGTGCCGCTGGGCACAGAGTGAGGTGTCCTGAGGTCCTTTACCCAATCCCCTGAGCCTCAGTCCTCGGTCCAAAGGGTTCTGAAGGAGCCTGGAGCCCGCATTGACAAATCTCCCGGAGCTTGGCGCGGCTTGAAGGGGATCCAGCGCATCTCCCCGCGTGACTTGTCGGGCCCAAGAGGGCCCCAAGACGGGCCAAGCGCGCCCAAAGAGACTCCGAAGACGGCACGAGAGGGCACCGAGTCGCCGAATGATTGCTCCAAGACGCTCAAGATGGCTCCAAGACGTTCAAAGAGGCTGCAGGACGCCCCAAGAGGCCTCCAAGAGGCCTCCCAAGACAACGCAGGTTCTTGACGGTTTTTGGCTTTCTCGCCTTTTCGGCTTCCCGACGCTCCTGGACAGCCCGAAGGGGCCCCAAGATCGTCCCAATGTCGGCCCAAAAGGCCTCCAAGAGAGCCCAAGAACGGCCCAACGGGCCCCAAGACGGCCCAAGAGGCGCGCAAGACGGCCCAAGAGGCCCCAGAGACGGACCCAAGAGGGGGCCCAGATGGGGGACCCGAGCGAACACTTCGAGCCCTCGGCCCAGAGGGGTTCCCAGGAGGCGAGAACCCCAAGAAGCGTCCCCGAGAACTCTGACCCACAGCCCAGGCACGGTGGCGGGATTTTTGACGCCCGAAATGGGTACGGAAAAAATGGGTACGATGCCCAACAACAAATGTTGCCCCAAACCAACAGCGGCCGCTGCTGGGCAGGCGGCCGTCTCTCTCGAATGGACACAGGCCGCGGCGGCGCGGACACCGTGTCCTGTTCGAAATGAACAGGAACCGCTGTTGTGCACTGTACCCATTCTTTCCGTGCCCATCTCGCTCGTGCAGAACGGTGGCGGGATGGGCCAGAGGCCGGAAGACAGAGAGAGATGGGGCCCAGGAAGAGGCAGGACCAGCCGGCAGCGAATCGGGGATCGGGCCGAATCGGACTCGGCGCGGAGTCGAAGCCGAGTCGGAGCGGCCGAGCCAGCACGCACGGCTGCGCCGCGCAGGCACCGGACCGCGCTGGGTGGTCGGAAGCTCGGAATCGAAGCGGATCGGGCCGGCCAGAATCGATGTCGAATCGGGTCGATCGAATCGAAACGGCCCCGAGAGGGGGGGGCGGAGCGGGGGGAGGCAGGAGAGAGCGCAGAAGGTTCCGGAGGCAACTCCTAGGGGCTACAGTCGAGGCGTTGACCTAAGGAACCCTAAATAAGGCACGGGGCCCCTTTTTGCGTAAGTTAAACTTCGACTTCCCATCGAAAACTGAAGGGAAACCTTAGGCAAGGTATGGAACAATCAAGGAACATCGAGCCGCTCCCCAACGAAAAGGGTTCCTTCTTCAGCGCCCCGACTGTAGGGGCTATACTGAGCGAACTTGAGCCGAGCGGAGCCCGATCGCACGGGTTCCAGCCGGGCTCTGCGAGAGCGGGCTGGATGCAGCTGGACTTCGACCAGGGATCTCCCGACATCAATGCCAAACTAAACTTCCCGGGAGTGGCATCCTAAGCTGGGGGCCCAGACCCCCGACGTCGCGTTCTTCGACGTCGACCTCCAGAGGTCTGGACCCCTTCCCTGGGACTGGTCTTTCATCCTGCATCGTTTCTTGACGGTCCCGAGGCCCGGTAAGGGCCCAAGGGAGACCTAAATTAGCAGTTCACGATAAAAAATTATCCTGGCGAAGGACCCAACCATATGCAATTGTGAATACCGCAATTGTGAATATCTTCTTCGGTGGCGCTCCCTATGGGGCCACGAAACGTGTGAGGGGTGTGCCGAAATGGGTGCGCGGGACGCGTGCGGGCACACCCACTGGGACCTTCGGTGGAGCTCCCTATGGGGCCACGAAGCGTGTGAGGGGTGTGCCGAAATGGGTGTGCGGGACGCATGTGGGCACACCCACTGGGACCTTCGGTGGAGCCCCCTGCGGGGCCACGAAACGTGCGAGGGGTGTGCCGACATGGGTGTGCGGGACGCATGCGGGCACACCCACTGGGGCCTTCGGTGGAGCTCCCTATGGGACCACGAAACGTGTGAGGGGTCACGAAACGCGTGAGGGGTGTGCCGAAATGGGTGTGCGGGACGCATGCGGGCACACCCACTGGGGCCTTCGGCACGAAACGTGTGAAGAGCATGCCGAAATGGGTGTGCGGGACGCATGCGGGCACACCCACTGGGACCTTCGGCGGAGCTCCCTATGGGGCCACAAAGCGTGTGAGGGGTGTGCCGAAATGGGTGTGCGGGACGCATGCGGGCACACCCACTGGGGCCTTCGGTGGAGCTCCCTATGGGGCCACGAAACGTGTGAGGGGTGTGCCGAAATGGGTGTGCGGGACGCATGCGGGCACACCCACTGGGGCCTTCGGTGGAGCTCCCTATGGGGCCACGAAACGTGTGAAGGGGTGTGCCGAAATGGGTGTGCGGGACGCATGCGGGCACACCCACTGGGACCTTCGGCGGAGCTCCCTATGGGGCCACGAACGTGTGAGGGGTGTGCCGAAATTGGGTGTGCGGGACGCATGCGGGCGGCAGCACTGGGGCCTTCGGCGGAGCTCCCTATGGGGCCACGAAGCGTGTGAGGGGTGTGCCGAAATAAATGTGCGGGACGCATGCGGGCACACCCGCCGGGACCTTCGGTGGAGCCCCTTTGGGGCCACGAAACGTGTGAGGGGTGTGCCGAATTGGGTGTGCGTGACGCATGCGGGCGGCAGCACTGGGGCCTTCGGCGGAGCTCCCTATGGGGCCACGAAACGTGTGAGGGGTGTGCCGAATTGGGTGTGCGGGACGCATGCGGGCGGCAGCACTGGGGCCTTCGGCGGAGCTCCTTATGGGGCCACGAAACGCGTGAGGGGTGTGCCGAATTGGGTGTGCGTGACGCATGCGGGCGGCAGCACAGGGGCCTTCGGTGGAGCTCCCTATGGGGCCACGAACGTGTGAGGGGTGTGCCGAACGGGGTGTGCGTGACGAAACGTGTGATGTGCGGGACGCATGCGGGCGGCAGCACTGGGGCCTTCGGCGGAGCTCCCTATGGGGCCACGAAACGTGTGAGGGGTGTGCCGAATTGGGTGTGCGGGACGCATGCGGGCGGCAGCACTGGGGCCTTCGGCGGAGCTCCTTATGGGGCCACGAACGTGTGAGGGTGTGCCGTGGTGTTGGGGTGTGCGTGACGCATGCGGGCGGCAGCACTGGGGCCTTCGGCGGAGCTCCTATGGGGCCACGAAACGTGTGAGGGGTGTGCCGAATTGGGTGTGGGTGACGCATGCGGGCGGCAGCACTGGGGCCTTCGGCGGAGCTCCCTATGGGCCACGAAACGTGTGAGGGGTGTGCCGAATTGGGTGTGGGTGACGCATGCGGGCGGCAGCACTGGGGCCTTCGGCGGAGCTCCCTGTGGGGCCACGAAAGTGTGACGGGTGTGCCGAATTGGGTGTGGGGGACGCATGCGGGCGGCAGCACTGGGGCCTTCGGCGGAGCTCCTATGGGGCCACGAAACGTGTGAGGGGTGTGTGCCGAATTGGGTGTGCGGGACGCATGCGGGCGGCAGCGGGGCCTTCGGGAGCTCTATGGGGCCACGAAAGTGTGAGGGGTGTGCCGAATTGGGTGTCCATGCGGGCGGCAGCACTGGGGCCAGCTCCCTATGGGCCACGAACGTGTGAGGGGTGTGCCGAAATGGGTGTGCGGGACGCATGCGGGCGGGCACTGGGGCCTTCGGTGGAGCTCCCTATGGAGCCACGAAACGTGTGAGGGGTGTGCCGAAATGGGTGTGCGGGACGCATGCGGGCGGCAGCACTGGGGCCTTCGGTGGAGCTCCCTATGGGGCCACGAAACGTGTGTGGGGTGTGCCGAAATGGGTGTGGGGGACGCATGCGGCCGCGGGGCCTTCGGTGGAGCTCCCTATGGAGCCACGAAACGTGTGAGGGGTGCCTTGTGGGGGAGCTCCATGGGGCTAAGCTGTGTGAGGGGTGTGCCTTTCGGTGGAGCTCCCTATGGGGCCACGAAACGTGTGAGGGGTGTGCCGAATTGGGTGTGGGGACGCATGCGGGCGGCAGCACTGGGGCCTTCGGCGGAGCTCCTATGGGGCCACGAAACGTGTGAGGGGTGTGCCGAATTGGGTGTGGGTGACGCATGCGGGCGGCAGCACTGGGGCCTTCGGCGGAGCTCCTATGGGGCCACGAAACGTGTGAGGGGTGTGCCGAATTGGGTGTGGGGGACGCATGCGGGCGGCAGCACTGGGGCCTTCGGCGGAGCTCCCTATGGGGCCACGAAACGGTGTACTGGGGGGGTGAAACGCAGGGAAGAGGGGGAGGAGGGAGGAGGAGGGGGAGGAGGCAGCGGGAGGAAGGAAGGAAGGAAGGAGAACGCGGGGCACCGTCTCTTCAAAACGAGGACCCAACACCACAGGATGGTTGGGAACTAGTCCCGGGAGGGGTCCAAGACCTCTGAGGGTCGACTTTGTGAGAGAAAAAAATAAATAAAAAATAACAACAACAACAACAACAACAACAACAACAACAACAACAACAACAACAACAACAACAACAACAACAACAACAACAACAACAACAACAACAACAACAACAACAACAACAACAACAACAACAACAACAACAACAACAACAACAACAACAACAACAACAACAACAACAAAAAAAAAAAAAAAAAAAAAAACGACGTCGCAGGTCTGGGGAGGCAGGAAGAGCTCCTGGGCGGAGCACCTGGCACACCCTGCAGGCACAGCGGCGGTGCGAGGGCGGAGGATTGCCCATCCGAGGGAGTCTGTCTTGTGAGCCCTCACTTCGTCCTGACCCCCGGCGCGCGAAGAGACGGGGCCGTCCATCGCCCCCCGAGGACAGGAGACGGGAAATGGGCCGGGCGGGAATCTTGCGTGGGATGTCCTCACACAATCGGCCCATTGACCCCCCCCCACAAGGAGGGAGAGGGGTGGAGGAGAGGGAGGTGGTGCGGGCGGGGCTGGGCGGCAATGCATTTCGAGAGCTACGGATCAGCCGCAGAGCGGCAGGCAAGTGAGGACAAGGGCTGGAGTAGGAGGAGTGGGAGGACGGAGGAGGCAGAGGAGGAGGAGGAGGAGGAGGGGGAGGAGGAGAAAGACGAGGATGAGGCGGGACAGAAGGAGGTAGGATAAACCTAGAGGATAAGAAGAAGAAAAAGAAGGAGGAGAAGGAGAAAGACGAGGAGGCAAAGGGAACGGGGGAGGAGGGTTAGGAGGAGGAGGAGGAATAAAGGAGCCCCAGGAGGAGCAGGAGGATAATGGGGAGAAGGGGAAGGAAGAGGAGGGGAAAGAGTAGAACCACGAGGAGGCGGACGAACAAGGAGCAGCGGCAAAACTGAGAACAGGAGCAGCAGCAACAGCAGCAAAGGGGGAGAAAGAGGTGCTGGTTTAGAGCCGATTGGACCGAAACTCCTGACGAAGCACAGAGGAGAAAACATCCGAAGCGAGGCCTAACCAGTGGGTCGGCGCTATCCCCGCGAGGTGTGCCACCTCGGTCCCGCCCTGCGCAGGCCCCTGGAGATCCACGGAGGGCTGCACTGGTCTCCACAGGGTTCCGGAGAGGGAGGAAGGCAAGGCTCTAAAGGGGGGGAAGAGAGAGGCAGAGAGGGAGAGAAGGGGAAGGGAGGCAGCGAGAGATCAGCATCAGCAGCAAAGAGAGCGCAGGAAGAGCGCACAAGCGGGCGGAGCCACAGTGATCCGGGTCTGCCGCCCCACGATCGCGCGCACCACGCGGCAGCAGCCGCACAGTGGGTTGCGAGTGGGGGCTTGAAGCTGACATGCGCAGAGGGACGGGAAGGTGAGGG